CCGTTATTGCATTCAACTTGTTTAAGTACTCTAACGTTGTAATAAAGTGATGTAAGAAATAGTTAAGAATATTGTAAGCTTTATTCTCTTATTTATGATCCTGATGAAAAATGTGGATTTTTGAGTTCTTTCTTGGGATGTGCTCGAAACAACATCACGATTTAGTGCACTCTCTTGGGTATTTAGTGTTTAATGGAAGACAAGTACTCTTGGGAGGACATTAGATTAGGTGGTTCTGCCACAGTTTTTAGGGGCCTGGAGGAGGAGCCGGGAGAAGCCACTTTTTTTTTACTCCATCCCACCCCAAATTATTGTGAAAGCATGTTTTTAGGGGCTTCACTAGTTAAGCCATTTCACTTTACCCCGCTTGGTAAAAAATGGCACCAAACGGCTCCTGAAGCCGGTAGAGAAGCTCTGCCAAACGGGGCTACGTATATGTAATTTTTATTGTTGATTTATCCAATAAAAAAATATAGAATTGCACTTATTTTAGACTGAGGAAATAGCTCTTTTTATATTGTTGGACTTATCATTATATAGTAAAGTTGTGCTAAGAGTAAGTACAGTGAATGGTTATAGGTTGGCTATAAGCAGTGGCGAATCCAGGATTTTAGTTTAGGGTACGTCGTCCAAAAATTTTCATATCCAATTCGGTAAATTTATTATAGCAATTCAGTAATAATTACAAAAATGACAACGTGATTCGGTATATATGCACTAAGTAACACGATAATGCTTAAATTTATGGATTAAGTTGAAACCCTCCACTAAATACAATATATATAGTTCAAAAGTCATACTGATAATTGAAATATAGGCATAAAAGAGTACAACTGACTTATAATGCTACTTTTCTGGCTATTTTATTCAACGCTTTACAATATAAACAGTTAAAAAATCATACTGATAGTTAAAAGTCTAGAATACCAGGAATCCAATCCAAAAGAAAGATCCTTCTATTCATTCAATTCATTTCAAATAAGCAAGCCAATAAATAGAGCTAGTGTTGTAGTTAAAGCAACGAATAGAAAACCGAAACAACTAGTTATAGTAAGCATGAACGGGTTAAATTCTATTTTTTTACTACCCTACATATGTTGGTAAAGCACTTAAAATAAAGAGATGCAATATCCGAGTTTCTTTTCATAACTACATAAATATTAAAAAAACACATTGCCAAATAATTAAACAATTTGCTATTTGTGATGTTAGCAAATAGCTATGAAAAATAAACGACAATTTTCTGTAGAAAGATGAAGAGTAGAAGAAACCGAAGAGCAAAGATTAAATTTTACATGAATGAAATAGCGAATCAAAGCGGTAAGCCTTACTGTTGTGTGGCCGTGCAGACTACAGATGAGATGAGACATGGACAGCGAGCCTCCGATCCAATCTAGCATCCAGGGTGGAGGGCGGTAGCGGCACCAGGGCGTCTGTGCATTAGGGGTCAGCCGTCAGGCGGGGTGCGTGTCCTCCGTCCTTAGGTCCAGATTATAGATTAATTAATTAGGAACTAGAAACATAGTGCACCTAGTAGACGTCTGGACTTGCCTATTGCCACGTGGGCCTCCCTCCCATCCTCCCGTGATGGCGTAATGGGATCTAGATTTTTTTTTTACGAATACGGCATATACATACGACTACCTAAACTAGTTGCCGCCGGTCTCGCACCCTGTGGCTCCGCCACCGTATATAAGTAGGCTGATACATATGCTATAAGTATTCACACAACTAATAGAGGATTGTATTATTTATAGAGCACCTTTGGAACACATAAATTTTATAGAAATTACATAGGAATTTCACATAAAATCGATTCATTTTTTACGAAACTGCTCGTAACTGCAAAGGCAGAGAAGATCCGGCGGGGTGTATGAGATCTCTGCAAGTCGCCTTGAGAACTGAGACATGCTGATTCTCTTTTCATTTTCCTTGACCATGGCGTATTGGGCCAGGCTATTGGCGTTTGTTGGCATACGCGCTCTCTGGCGACTGCTGCTGCATACTACTGTACACCCCAGTACCAGCCCATACCCAAAGCCCAGTAGGCAGCTCCGTGCCTCTAGGCCCTGTGCTATCTGCTATCGCCATATTGCAAGGGGATCCTCACCGCGTCACCATCACCTCTAGGAACTCATCTGACGTGGCCTAAACGCGTTGCATGAGATGGAGAAGTACTAGGGTGGTAGCCCTGCCGGCGGCCGGCATCCCAGGCGGCTTGCTCGGCTGGTCGTGCCTTTCCAGGCATGCTGGCACTGGCAGCCTGGCATGCATAGTTGCACTGTGCTGGTAGCAGCATGCAGTCGACGTCTGTAGAGGAACCGACATGTCTAGGTAGCCGTAGGTCTACGCGGCGGGACCACCGTCAGCGTCTGCGCATCCATCGGACCTGCATTATATTGGCGGCGGGGCTCCGCCGGCCCCCGCAGCTTTCACCGGGTTCGCCGCCGCCGCCGCCGCCTCGCCGCGCGTTGGAGTGACGGAACCAGCCCGGACAAACCGAGGGAACCGGACAAGGCCCCCAAATGTATCGTTTGGGCCAGGTTTTCCTACGGACACAAGACGCGGGTTTTTTTTTTCTGGGCCCAGCAGGCTGAATCGCTCAGAACTTCGTCTCGCTCAGAAACAGACAGGTATCAGTAACATCAGATTAGTCCCATATCGCCCCCTAATCTTGCATGCGCCTAGAAGGGAGTACAAAATAACTCCCGCATCAACCTTAAACCTTACTTACCTGGGCGAGGTCAATTGCTGATCAAAAAAGAGCAATGGCCTAGGCTAGCGGCCTCCATCAGTGGCGGATCTAGGATGGTGATTAAGGGGGGGCTAAACAATGAAGATCTAAGGCTAACACTAAAGATTAATGGTGATTTGCCACTATGTAATAGTGATTTATGAAGAGATTAGGCTCACTGGGGGGGCTGTAGCCCCGGCAGCCCCCCCTGTGGATCCGCCACTGGCCTCCATTGCACTTGGGAGGAGTATCCGCCACTGGCCTCCATTGCACTTGGGAGGAGTGCTAGCTTACCATCTTCTCAAGTAGAAGAGTGGACGTCATAATTTATGGTCGAGGGGTACGTGTTCGCGCGGCCCCTATCAATATAAGATTAAGTTTTGTAATTATAATTATAATTATTTTATTCTAATAAGTATATGATTGAGACTTGTTAGTATATAATATATAGTGTTGTTGTATGTTTTCTTTTCTCTTACTCAAATTATAGGTGTTTTGCATGTTAGAATAAAGTTTATCCATCTGTGCCCAACTTATATTATTAACAAATCACTGATTATTAACAATGAAGCACTAGGATCCTACGTCGATTTCCACTAACACTGGAACTTGGAGATTAACAATGGAGCCCTATAATTCTACATCGATTTCCGCTAACAATGGAACTTAAGGAGACAAGCAAGAAATCTCACAATTCTGAACTTTGTTTGCTGCTTGTGGATTCCGAATTTGAGTTCAACAAATGTGTCGTCACGGAACATGTCAAACAAACTAGGCATTGATTTGCTCTCTGGGCTGATGCTCCCAACATTTTTTTTTGAGTTGGTCCCTTGGGGCAACTATTTTGGCCCATTCGTGCTTGAAAAAACCCATGTCTTCGGCTTGTTCGTCAATCAGGCCGAAGGAGGAGAATACAAAACATGGGCTTTACCCAGCCCAGGCCTTATTTTATGACTGAATCCTTATCTTTATCTTTATCTTTATCTTTACCCATATAATACACCACTTCAAATTATCCTATAGCCACCAAACAAATTCCACCTCTATAGTCATAAACTAAACTACGTCCATCCCACAAAACACACAGAAATAAACCACATTAAAAACATACACACCAGATTAACTCCCACTCATTATCTCTCATTACTCAACCGTATCCGACAGTCCTCCTTCTTTGATCTGCAATTGCCCCCGGCGACCGAGACCCCTCACCCTCGCGGCCCCCGTACCCAGTATAGGCTTCAACGCGTGGCATCCGCAAACCCAACCGCGAGAGTCCAGGTTCGAACCCCGCTATCTACGGGAAAAAAAGAAAGTCACAACCCCCCCCCCGAATGTTGAGGCAAAGCGAAGCGCGAGGGTAGGCGTCTTAAGGCAGCGTCGGCGCAGACCGCTGTAGCCTCCGCGCATGTCACTGAAGGCGTTCGGTTTTAACCGATGGTTCGGTTCGCTTTCTTCGGTTTTCCAAAATTTCGGTTTCTAGAAAATGACCCCTGATCGGTTTGCTAAAATTCCAAAAACCGACCAATTTCGGTTCGGTTTTTTAGTTTGGTTTTTCGGTTAAAACCGAATAAACCGATGCAAGAAAACATCAGACAGGATTTAGAACTGACAACACAACATAGTACAAACTTGCACAGCACAGTATATTATTTGAAGACTCAAGACTGTTACAAACTTAACAATTCAATGCTCAAATCAAATATTACAAATTTGCAGTTCATTCCTGATAATAAACCACAGTACTCCATCAGTTTTGATAAACAACAGGAAAAAAAACAGGTTCCAGCCAGCAGGACTACCGACTATTTGGTTTCTCGGTACTTCGGTTCGGTATGGCATAGAAACTCAATCCGAAGCCGAACAACGAACTTCACAGAACTAGAAACGAAACCGAACCGAAAAACCGAACTACCGACTATTCGGTTCGGTTTTGGTTCGGTTCGGTTCGATGTTCGGTTTTTGGTGAAAAAGCGCCCAGGGTGACTCCGCGGCACCGTCGATCCGCGGACAAGCTACCGCTCCGGGCGGTAGATGGGCAGGGGCGTAGCCGCGCAGGCTACTAGGCGCCGAGCGTGAGGCCACGAGCGCCGGACGCTCGGACGGCCGGGCACCACGCTGCCACAGTGAAGCTCCTCCCTCTGCTCGCCCGAATGCCGGCGCCCCCATCTGAATCTGGCGCGCCCCTCCCCGATCCGTTCGATCCGCGCCGAATCGCCGCCGCTCGGGGCGGAACCGTAATCCGATCTCGACCCGTTTCCCCACGATGGGCGCCGGCCGTGTCTGCCGTGGCGGCCCCTCCCCTGCCGCCGGCGCCGCCACAGGGCGGCCGTTCCGACGCTCGCCACGTCCTCCTCCGCCTCCCCTTCCTAGGCCCCCTCCGAGACGGCGTCCACGTCGGTCATCAAGACGATGTCCTCGTCCATTGCTTTGCTGGGGTGTCGAGGAGGTAGGCGTATGGAGCGTTGCCATTTTCGATTTCGTTTTGTGGGTAAAGTTAGGATCACTTCTTTGGAATAGTCATGTTTAGCAATGGAATTATATCAGAAATGCTATACAACACACATGTTTTTAGCACCAAAAAACACATAGATTTTTTTTGTATCTCTCTCCCTCTATCTTTCTCACCGGTGACCAATGTTCCCCAGCCCGGCGTTGGCCAGCGTGGAGTTGACGTTCTGCATGGCGGAGAGGATGTTGTTGTTGTCCCCGCTGGAGACCTCGTTGCCCACGGCGATGTACTTGAAGTTGACCCCCGGGATCGCCTGCACGTTGCTCTGCACCCATGTGGCCGCCGCGCGGCTCGGGTCGGAGGCCAGCGAGGAGAGGTCCGAGTTGGGCACGTCCATGATCACCCCGATGTTGCTGCCGCTCAGCGCGTTGAGAGAGTTGGTGTCCGGGAAGTAGATGCGCATCTGGTTGATGCCGTTGGACTGGTAGAGTTGCACCACATCGCTCGCCGACGGCAGGTTGTCGCCGTTCACGCCGTAGCACACGCCGATGGCATGGCAGTGGCGGTGGCGGCGGCGGATATGTGATTTGTCCTTCCATACAAAAAAAATTTGTGATCTATGATCTAGATCTGTGGAGGCTGGAGGTAGAAGAAAGGTGGAGGCTGTTGGATCTTAATCCTATGGTGCAAAAAAATTAATGTGTTGAAACTGCATAAAACACATGGTTGTGCAGTAGACAGATTGGGCGTGGTAGTAATAGCATAGCAGTACCAATTTGCTTTGAAGGTGTGAAATTTGACCAAACCAATTTGTAGTGCATGCGATGAAACTGAATGTTTATGACACAAACCACTTGGAGTAGGCTGCTGCCTGCTTGAAATTTGCAAATTGGAATTTAACTTTACCCATGTAGCGTCTCTATTTAGTAAATTGGTTAGAACAAGACTGTTCACCAACTCCCTTTTGCATCTTTGTATGTTTATTTATTCATCGTTATTTCAAATTTACTTCAGTTCTTTCATCATAGTTGCTTATCTCATGAGATTAGAACACAAATCTCTTGAAGGCCTGAACTCTCTTTTCTTGGAAAGAGAACATGTATCTTTTCATCTACTATAAAAGAATTTTACCCATGTTTTTTTTTTTCAGAAGCATTAGAAGCTTTGAAGGAGATTTCTGAGTTGGCGTGCCCAAATGATGGTTTTCTTGACCAGCTGAAATTTTCTCAGGATCTGCTGGCAGCATATGAACTCCTGTAGTGTTTGTTGCTTAGCTGACCATTCTTCAAAGTTGATACTTCAAGTCATTTGTACAAGAGATTCCGCTTAAAATTATTAGGTTAGTCCTGATCCATTTTGGTTAAAGTGGTGTTTACAAGTTGCCGTTAATAGGGGACTTTCTCCCGTTTCCGTGGGGTATTCTCTATGTTTTATTTGTTTGCCCATTTTATACCGTGAATCATGAAATGTCTTCCTCGTGTATCTTAGTGGTGCACAATTGGCAGTCCATATAAAATCAGTTTGTGTTGTGATACATTTAGATTGGAAGCATACTCTTCTACAGTGATCCCTGATTCATGATGCAGAGTGTTTGAATGTTTTGTTACTAATGAATTCGTACCTACACTTATGTATCAATATGAAGTGCTGTATGGTTAGGATTTAGGACATGTAGCTGCACCTAAAATAAATAAAATTGTGTTTCAGATTTTCTTGTTCTTCTAAAAATATCAAAGTTGTCGATTGTTCAGTTGTTCAGTCTTAATCTGTTAGAAGTTTGAGCATTAAAAAATACTATCAGTTCATCAAATAAAATTGGTCATTAGTAAACAGTAATCTTATTCAGTATGCAGTAGTTGTACCCTTGGTGCATCTTTTATCATGTGATTTTTCTTACTATGTTATCCTTATTCCTTAGAGATCTGTTTCCTGCATTGTTGTTCCCCAGCCGGCGGGCGTCGTGGGAGCCCGGTGCGGTGGAGAACCTAGAGATATCTCTGAAGCATATCAGGTCAAAAAGGTAGAAAACCTGACTGTGTGGTTTATATATTTTTACAGTACACTGTTTTGGCTTGCATTTGACAAGGCTTGATATGTTTGCAGAATCAAATGTTACTTGATCAGCTCTTTGATCTCAAAAGTAAGGTAATAATGATGAGCTCTGGTTACCTTTTGCCTAATTTTATTTCTGTTCCATGCATTAGTACCAAACCTTGTAACGCTGAGATAACAGTTATGTTTTGCAGGAACAGGAATTGCAGGATCCATTCTTTGGGACCCTTCTCATGGATAAGAGTGGAAGAGCCCTTCTTTTGGTACGAACTGTCTAAATTTTAGTAGATGTACATAAAGGTAGTTGGTTTGAGCTGTGGATCAACTTCTTCATTGTGCTAATCTGCAGGTACATTGGGAATCGATGGGTATATGTGAATCAACATTGTGCTCTGCAGCTGGACGGTGGGCATCTATCTGCTCTCATCGTTCAGCTGTTTGTGGTTTTGCTTCAGTGAGCATTGGGTTGAATAATTTTGTTTTGTTGTGCCTTGTTGCCTGTAGGGACTGATCACTGGAGGCTTGATCCTGCTGGGCCTGATCTGCACTCGTTCCAGGTCAGCGCCGTCCCTGAGTTGTAGACAAGGAAGAATGACACTTGGATTCGCGTCACAAGGATGCTAGAAGCACCAGCAGGCTGAATATCCTATCCAAGGCCTCGCTGCCACTAGAGATGCACTAAGTTCGTTTAAATAACCACTGTGCTTGTAAATAATGTGTTCACATGAGCTTGACAGCTTTTTGTATGTATATCCAGTATGGAGCTTTGCTCTGCTGAGGCAGAGGACATTTCATTGAGCTGTAGGTGCAGTGTAAAAAGTTGGGAATTATATTTGTGGAATTATGTTAGTTTATCTGAAAAGTGTACATATGAAAATTGTCACATGAATTCGATCATGTTTTGGGTTTTACCGTAGCGTTAGCATGGGCATTATCTAGCATGGGCATTATCCTGTATGCTGTTTTGTGCATGACGAGGTTAACTCAGATGCATTGTGTCCTTTGTCCTGTGAGTCAGAATGCGAGGCAGCTGCTGAGCGAGTGCGTGGCATCGCACCTGCGGCACAAGGATGTAGCTCTGGAGTACGGGTCAGGGCTGCAGTCCTCCAGTGGGAGAATATTGCTCCAGAGCTTGCCAGGTGCTGGTCGAGAATGGAGCTTATGTTTCCATCTGCTTATATGGATGTTGAGATTTTTCTTGGTTGCTATAATGCAGGGACTAAACTCTATCGCGAGAGATTTGTGAGGGCTCTTGCCAATGAGTTGTGTGCACCATTATTGGTTCTGGACAGCAGTGTTCTAGCACCATATGTAATATAATCTGCCCCATATATTATAAGTCTTAAGGTTTGTGGTTGAAGTTGAACCTAATGCCTGACCTTGTAGGATTGTGGCGAAGACTGTTCAGAGAGTGAGGGAGAGGATAATCATGCAGAGCGCAGAGGTAGAGGATAAAGGTTCAGAATCAGAGGTCGATGGTAAAGGTGATGAAAGTGATGATGATGGCACAGTCCAATCAGGTAAATCTTCACACACACTGAGTTTAAACACTGTTGTCCGATCCCTGTCCTATCTTCTCTTTTATTTTTCTTACAAGGAGTCTTTAAAAAATGTATTGTTAATCTTTGTCAAGATGAATGGTGGAATAAGATGCATACAAGGGGTGAATAAAATTTTGACACCGCTGTTCTTTGTATTTCAGAGTGATCCGGATGATAAAATTGATGTATGGAGTAAAAGATTGTTTGTACCAAAAGTTCTTAGTGCCCTTCGTAGTACTGCTGATAGCTGAAGAGTTCAGTCCCTGCATTCGAGGTACACTAGCCAAGTTATGTCAGCTTGTAGCAAAGTTTGATGGAGAACTCCAGCATCGGTAATAACTACAAAAGTAAGTCTTTGCATGCTGCATACGCCAATCTATTTATTGTCTTAAGGATTGTTTTATGTTTGGCCTTCCAGGTCATTGACCTGAATTAAACTTCTAATTTCTTATGGTATATGTGTTGTAAGGATAATAGTGACAGAAATTTAAGTGCTTCTTTGTGGTGTATGTCTTCAAATAGTTTAGTTGTAAGAATCACTGTCAGTTGAACCCACCCTTCGAGTAGTAGGACTTGTTACCATCTAAAATTAGGTGTTTTTGTTTGTTTGTAAATTGAACAATCCATGTATGAACCATGGTATCTCAAACTACATGAAGTCATTGGTCGCTTGTAATTTTCTACCAGCATAATCCCTTCCAAACATACATAGTGGCAGCCATATTGATTTATTTTAGTTTTATGATTTATTTTTGCTAGACGCTACCGTAGCGTTAGCACGGGCAATATACTAGTATTAGTTTCTGGGTGCTTAGCGTCCCTGCACTGCGGGGAGGACATGACAGGGGTTTAGTATAGTTAATTAGTCCCATATCGGTTTCCCAATCTTGCTTGCCTTTTGAGAAGGACTACAAAGTGAACCACATGTGCAACCTTGATCCATACTACCTGGACGGAGTCTATGGTTGATCAAGAAGAGCCATGGCCTAAGTTAGCTGTCTCTATTACACTTGGGAGGAGTGCTGGCTTACCATCTCCCCAAGTAGGAGAGTGGACGTCATAATTTATGTCAAAGGGGTACACGTCCGCACGGCCCCTACCAATCCTAATTATTAAGTTTTTCTTGTTTTGATTAATTATTAAAATTAATAATTAACTAATGGTTAATTAATAATAACTAGTTAATTAATTAATTTTTGTTATTAATAATTAATTAATTAATTAATTTTTGTTATTAACAATAATAAGTATGATATTTTTATTATATTTTCATATTATTTTTATTACCATTATTATTAATGTTGAGATTTTTTTTGTTATTAATTTTTTGCTTCGGTTTCAAACAAAATGTCTAAACTTTTTCGCAAAAGAAAAGAAACAAAATGTCTAGCCGACGGGCCAAACAGACTAGACATTGAGTTGCTTTCCTCCAGCTGAGTTGGACCTGAAGGGCCTTTTCTCGCAGTCGCATGGTTAGTGAAGTTGACCGTGCTTCGCTTGCCACAACAGGGTTCCGAAGTTGGTGGCCTGCAGAGTGTTGACTGGGCACGGTGAGCAACGCATGGATTCCTGATCTCCGCCGTCGCATGAAGACGCCAACGGCATGGGGAGACAGACACGGCGGCGGATGAAACCACAGCCGTCCCGCGTCCACCATCTGAGGTCGACGGAGATGACCTCACATGCCACGGCTTACACACAACCATGCATCGCACGCCAAGGCTTCGCATGAAGGCGCCAACGGCATGGGGAGGCAGACGCGGCGGCGGATGAAGCTCCTGCTGTCCGGTGTCCGCCATCGCCGCCGCTGAGGTCGACAGAGATGGTGACGCCTGGCGCGAGTCTGACGCCGATTTCAAACAACACTTCAAAAGGTACACAATTCCGGTTTCCCCTCGCCAGTTAAGTTTGCCGCTGCCAAGGTTGCAGAATAAAATTACTTCTTTCAAAAACAAAATCATGCCTAGATATTTAGGATCCATGTCTAGTTCATGATCAGTGACTCCAACCGCATGCAGGCAGACGCATGGAGCTGGCAGCACTGCAAATACCACGGGTACAAATTTGCTTAAAATTTATTGTTTCAAAATTCTAACGTGTGCCCGGTATTGAACCGGACATATTACAGCTGATGAATACAACAAATAAATTGCTCTCCTCCGCAAGCCGTGCAAGGGTTGAGTGCCTTCTGCTACTATTCCATCGTACCTTATACATATATAAACACACTTGCCTTCTGCTATGGCCTCGTATTGTACAAATGTACATTCATATGAACACTGAAGATGGTACATTCAAGCAAAGAATGGTTGCAAGATTGCTGCAGAATCCATGAACTGAATGGTCCTGCAGCATGACTCAAATAGCACATGGTGGCTTCTGATACCTAGATCATGACGTGTCAGCGGAATGAGAATGCGATTTCCTCTAGCGTCCTTCCCTTGGTCTCCGGAACCCACAAGCACACGAAAATGAGGGCCATGGTAGACACAGCAGCATAGATAGCAAAGGTTCCTGAGCAAAACAAGACATGGTAAGATCCCAATGTCGCAGGGGAAAACACGTTCTTGAAGGGAGGGAAGGAAAAAGAAAGAGACCTCCACTGCTCCAGTTCAACATTAGGCTTGCCGTCATTGTAATGGCCCATGCTGTCAGCCAGTTCGCCAGGGTCGCAACACTTCCAGCAAGGCTCTTGATGTTAACAGGAAGAATCTGAAAGGAAAACAACGTAAATTCAAAAATCTCCCTTCAAGTTTGCAGATGCAGTATCTCTAGGCATTTCATTATGCATGCACATTGGGCAGCTAGATAAGATGCTCGCTGTCATTCGTGTTTTAATTAATAACTACTAAATGAGGTAATTTCAGTATTTTGAGGTAGGCATAGCTGTCCTCTGGCTAGAGAAAATAATGCAGTTTCCCATGCAATTTGAAGGAGCAACTACAGTTTATAAATAACAAGAGTTTGCACCATTTTAAAGAAGCTATAGCTATGTTGAGAGGTTGTGGATTTGGGGTTGCAGTATCTCAGAGTGCATGAAATTCAAAGCTGGGGACTCGGAGCAAAAGTGCTAAGTGGCACTCATAATAATTACATAAAGATAAGAAAGCAAAGAAACATTAGTGAATTAAAAGCTCTGTATAATATAAAAAGCAAGAGTAAACTATACCTCAGACATAATGACCCAGGGAATTGCTCCCAAGCCAAGAGAAAATGCAATCACAAATGCCTGGAGAGCAAAAGACAAGGCCTCAAACAAGCTTCTCTCAACAAGGGGAACAAATAATATGTAATAGTACTGCGACTAACCACAAGTCCAGCCAGTGAAAGCATACTCATTGCAGAGTATAAGTGAGAACCAGCAGTTATGTTGTCCTGTTCCAGAATTGAAGCAAGAATGTTTCAGAAAGGAATGACAATGTCGATAGACTTTAAGCAATACGATTATTTCGGTAGAGTGCGCTGTAAACAATAGCATGCTACTATTAACCTTTTAAGTGACATTACCTTCACAAAAAATGACACAGAAACAATAACAAGAGTAACGACCATTCCTGTGGTAGAAATCTGAAAAGACAGCTCAATTAACATAACTGGATAACCATGTCCAATAAACAATTCTGATGGAAAGTTGAAAACTAACAATGAGAAGAAGCCTTCGACCAGCTTTGTCAGTCAACCAGGTTGTCACTCCAGTAGCAATCACCTGAAATGATAAGATCCCATTAAGTATGCAGTGCCAAGCCCACATCTGCTCAAAGTTTGTCCAAGAAACAAGGGACGTAACAACTTTAAAACAAATATACCTGAACAGCCCCCAAACCAAAGGTTGCTAGATTACTGTTTGTAATACCTGTTCAGGAAGAGAATTCAGTAAGATAACAGATTTGGAAGTCTTGGTTCTAAAACTCTTATTCCCCTTTTTTACATATTAAATGAAGCATTGTGGTATCCATACAAAGCATGAATCGAACCGAAACAAGGTAACTTTCATTTCCTGGACAAGTTCCAAAATATGCAAGCCAGAAAGCATATCTCAATTGCATTAGAATCTAGCAACAGAGATTGACCGTGTTTTGGAGAATGTACCAGCAGTTTTGAAGATGCTCGCAGCATAAAATAGAATGCCATTGACACCACTTAGCTGCTGCAGGACAAGGAGACCGATTCCTATCTAAAAACAAGCGAATTAGCAAAACTGCAAAAGATTAAACATTAATATGTAAACAGAGAGTAACAAATAGCAAGGCACCAACCACAAGGGGAACACTGTATCTCTTCTGCTTGATATCAGCAAATCTTATGGTTGTCCTCCTCCTTGATGATGCTACTGATCTCTGTGTAAAAATGGAAGATAACTATGTAATTCACATCTCCTATGGTACATTATACTGCAAAAAATAAGAGAAATTCTACACCAGCTTCTGAGAGCAACGCATTGACAGCTGCACCAGTGTACCATTGAGAACAATATTAACGAAATCTCTATATAGGAATCCTGCTTCCAAAAGACGGGCAGCGGATCGGGCCACGTCGCCCGTTAGCCCGCTGACCGTCCGATCCGGCGAACAAGCCATGTACACCGTTCGATCGTGGTCTTCGCGGGTCTCCTACCCGTTAATCCACGCAGCTGGGCCGTCAGGAATGCTCCGGAACCCACTCGACTCACCCCCTCCATCTCGGACTGTTGCGCGCCGCTCATACTCATGCGCCACCAGTTGCCTCCCTGTGTGGCGCCGTCTCCGTCGTCCCTTCTCCCGCCCGAGGTTCGACGACGCCCGGGGCTTGCCGCGTCGCCGGGTCCTTCTGCTCTGCCACACGCCGCCCGAGGTCCGAGGAGAACGGCGGCGCAGGGAGCCGCGGACACGAACAGGCTGCATCACGGCAGAGCGAGGGCCGCGCGCTATGGCACGCGGGGCTGCGACGCGGAGGAGCACGGGCCGCGCGGATGGCCGGCGGCGCGGGTCCGCGGGGGCTACGAACAGGCCGCGGCGTAGCGACGTGGGGGCCACGCGGACGGGCGGCGCGGCAGCGCCCTGTCCACACCTGGGTTTCACACGCCTCGCATGCCTAATGTTCGACAAAATGTCGCACTCAGCCTGAGCTTATTCCAGACTCCAGACGACAGCAATGCTCAAGGCACTTTCCGTGGAGAAAAGGTGGACACTGGCCCATGTGAAGATCCACGTTGCGTAAAGGAGCTGCAGCGCCGGCGACGAGCTCCTAGCTTCTGACACCCATTCACTACTACTTCAACCTCCTGTGTGCCTGAGCAGTCAGAAAGGATATGTTCATATATGAAGGTAATTTTTTTTTCTCTTTCTAAGTCCTACTTGACTGCACATGACAAGATCCATATAAAATTCCACATTTTTAGATAATTGAGCAACTTAATTGCAAGCTTTGTGATGAAATAGCCGAAGTATAGCGACCACTTATGAAATGTCAAGTTAGCATATGCTACATTTTTCTTCCATCTGAGTTTGTGGTTGAAAAAAGTTCTAAATTTTGAGTGTGCAATCAAAATACTTGAGCCAGGTACAAACACTTCTCTTTATCTATTCCCGTGTCTGATAGGGTTTACCTTTTCTAAAATCTTAGCAAAGGGCTTCCATACTCATGTAAGATTCTTTCTTATAAGCACTCATCATATTGGGTACTATCATTTGTTTATGCTCTAGGAGTCTGCTGCTGCAATGCCTACAGGTTGTAGTGGAGGCTTACTACCATGCTGCTTAACAAGGTTACAGAATTATATATAGATAAAAAGTAAAACTTATTTTATATGATTTAGGATATTTTAGTAATACGAAAGCAAAAAATACATACTTATACCTTTTACTACACATACAATTCAAATAATAGACTCTGAAATAGCAGCTCATGTATGTCAAATTGTTGCTTGACATGTGATTATGCTAATCTCAGTGCTTTGATTAATGGTTAGTTCTTTGCTACTTGTAGTTGGGAAAATACAAGTCACAGCCAATTTTTTGGATATGACTTCAGTACCAGCCTCACTATAATGTGCATCCAGAAATATCGGAATAAAACATATGGCTTTTGTTGTAGTAGATCCTAATTTGACATCTAGAAAGTAATATTACACTTATACAAGTAGATTTTAGTTATAGAAAGTCCTGCAATGATGCTATTGGAAAAAAATGAAATATGAACAGTACGCTGGTAGGCATTTACAACCACTGCACAGTTCTTCGGTTGTTCTGAAGTTTACCACTCAGTTTCTTTATTAACTCTGTCCTTTCTCCAAATTCATGACCATTTTCATCAGCACATGTCAGATATGCAATGCAAAGATTAGAAAGTTTTTTTTCATATGATTGAGCTACTGTGTCAAGCGGGCCTGGTGCAAGCGGTAGAGTCTTACCGCCTGTGACCGGAAGGTCCCGGGTTCGAGTCGCGGTCTCCTCGCATTGCACAAGCGAGGGTAAGGCTTGCCACTGACACCCTTCCCCAGACCCCGCACAGAGTGGGAGCTCTCTGCACTGGGTACGCCCTTTATTGAGCTACTGTGTCAAACTTGTGATCCGGTGATCCAAATCCAACTGCCTTCCCACTAGAGCGGTTATGCTGATTAGCAGCAAATATAGAACTAATCTTAAACGATGGCTCACTCTCCTAAGCACCTATTTTTTACCTAAAAAATGTAAACATGGTCCAAGCTATTTTCTTATGTATAGTAAAATACAGCAAAAGAAAGAAAAATATAACAGAAGCATCAAGAAAAGCATGAAAAACTTTAGAACAGGACAAACTATTCATCCAAGAAGAAAGACTATTGCTAAGAGAGGACTTAAATCTATGTAGGTGTAGCTTTGTAGCACGTACAAAACAAAATTTCCAGATACTACTTATTTTCCATTGAATACAGAGCTCTTGAGAACAAACGTCAGCTAGCAGCAGCTAGCAATACACAATATTCACAAACACCCTACACGTGTGCACTGTTCATAATCTTATCGCTGAGATCAGGTGAGAATCCATCTAATGATTTGTTCATGAGCCTGTTTTGTACTTCTTAGGTTGATTTAATGCCAATTTCTTGGTTTCTTATCTCTTACCCTGCACATGCATGCGATGGATACACACCATGTACTCAATGGTTTGTCTCAGTCGAATGATCGTCTGCTGACTAATAAACAAACTAAGTAACAAACCAAACAAACATGCATGTCAGCAGATAATTATAGTTAGTTCCATTGACATTTATTTTGATCAAGTTATGTAGTAGACCCAAGATACTTTATGATATTTAATTAATTGTAATGTGACTCAAGTAATCTTAGTTCAAAATCCATGTCCACTTCCTCAAAGCGAACACTTCTCGGTGCACAAGATGCCTTCTCTTGGTGTTCATCAGGCTGCTCTTCTACGAATTCAGATGACAAACGTTTTTTTTCCTTTGTTCAGTTTTCATCACTCAAAATCAACATGTGATTACAAATGCCTCCCATTTCAAATATATTGCGTTTGGGACAAGCTCGGTAGTTGATGCCTTTCGTGAAAGTTTGAAGCACTGCTCCTAGAAATGCAAGGTCAGTGTGTAATGCAGGAAATCCACGCTAATTATTTGACAGAATTGTTGCTTACTTTATTAATCTTTTATGCTTCTGTGTCATGCAGGAGCAACAGAATTACTAAGCACAACAGTGGGTGCTAAAGAATATGACACTAATGATTTCCAATAGCCACTTTGAATATACGCAGATCAATATAAGCTTCCTCTAATACCATTTCCTTATACCTTGTTTGCTAAGTTCCCAAAATGTAAACCATGTTGGCATTTGCTAAATTCTAGAAGTTGCACGGGTAATTCATTGCTGCAACTTATCATTTATATTTTATTATGCACAAATAGACGAGAAACAAGAACAAAGCTCATCACATTTTATGAATTATGACTGTGAACTCTATAAGGAAGTTGTAGGCTCTCAGTTCAGCTGGACAATTATAATCTTTTATAGATTCATTTTCTTTTTAGTGGACCACGTGTCATTATAAAATATATATTCAAGAGTTAGGTAGGCTCTATGTTCTTTTTCATTTGTGGTTTGGCAATTGGCATCAGTTCCTAGACATGTACTGATTTGCATCAAGAGTTATATAGATGTAAGTACTCAGATATAGATAGGAAGTTGTAGGCTCTCAATTCAACTGAACACTAATGGCCTGGTTGGTTGGGTGGCTAACCCCCAACCAGGCTCCAGGAAGAGCTGTTTGGTTGCCTGTAAATAGCTCTAAGTCAGGCCCAACCAAGCCACTTTGGAGGCCCTAGCTTGGCTCCCGAAAAACGAGATTGAGATCCGTTTTTCGCTGACCAGGCTTGGCCAAGCCCTCGCGTGCATTCTCGTCACCGCCCGTCACTTCCCCGCGCTGCTCCTCCGCTCGCGGTCTCGCGCCCTGCTCCTCCGCTGTCCGCTCCCCTTCTCTAGCCGTTGCGCTTGCGAATCTAGGGCTGCCGGATTTCACGCATCCAGGGCCGTCGGACTTCACGCTCTGCTCCTCCCTTCGTCTTCACCACCGTCTGTGCCCTCCTCACTTCTCCAATCTCGAATCGTCGGGTGCCTGCTTCCCTACGGCGGTGCCAGCGGGTTAGGCGAAGAGCAGTTGCAAGCGCTCCTGTCAGCCGCCGCCGCGAACAACAAGCAGGCGTAGCAGCAGTACCAATGCGCGGCCGGCGTGGCCAGCGCCACGAGATCGACCTGACCTGCAACGACGACGGCGGTGTGGTGGCGTCGCGGAAGGGCGGCAGGGACGGCGACCTCGAGCTGCAGTACCACGGCGTGCACGGCGGACGCGCTGTTGGCGGCGGCGGTGTCCACCAGCGCGCGCCCATTGTCCACGGCGGACGCGTTGTTGGCGGCGGAGCTGTGCCAACAAGGTGGGGAGGTGGACGCGCTGGTGCTCGTCGGGTGCAAGTGCCTCCGCGCGGGGCTGGAGTGGGCGACGGCAGCGGTAGTGCGAGGTGCCGGCGCGCGTCGCCGCGGCGGGCGCCTTGCTTGCGCTGCAGGAGGAGCGCGAGCTGGAGGCGGCCATGGCGGATGATGTTGCAGTGGCCATGGCGACGGTCACGTGTTCGACGAAATGTGTCAACGGGGTAAACTTACCAGTCTTAGGATAGGGTGATTCTATGCAAGCCAAAACAAACAACCAAACCAACCAAAACTTAGCCAGGCTTCAGCAATCATTCCAACCAAACAAGTGGCTGTTGGCTTATGCCAACCTGACTAAGTCTAGCCTGGCTCAAAAAGCTAGCCAGGCTTGGAATTGAACATGAATCAAACAGGCCCTAAATCTATTTAGTTTGTGTTGTCACCTCAGCCGTGCCATCAATTTATTCTTCACTATAAGTCGTGGCAATAAATCTTCTTAAAAGCTTCACCAAATACTAAATTTCAGATCAAATGCATTTTAATTACTACGACACTACGAGTACAATAAATCATACTAAAGCTCATGGATTCACGTCTTCATCAATCGTGTATTGCTCCTTCATTTTTTTGTGAATGACTATTATCGCTGATTTATCTTTGTCATGGAATATATATTCCTATCACATTAGTCGAGAACATGTCTAACACTCTATTGAGCTTCAACACTATATTGTTTAAACATAGGCCAATAAAATCACATGGTTATCAAAGATGGCGCGGCAACGCCGCACCCAGGTTTTCTAGTATATATCTATCTTGGAGCCTGGACCATGTGGTGTCATCGTAATCGGTGTGTTTTTGATGGGGCATCTCCAATGCCAGCAGCTCGAAGTATTTCTTATCTCATCTCATGTCCCTTGCACTAGGTGTAGTTGAGTTTAGGTCGTGGTCGAGTTTTATTCTGTATAAGGGCGTGTTCGTCTTCCTAAAACTAAAATGTTGGACTGAGTGTGTTGTATGTGTATGTTTGTAAGTACACAGCTCTCCTGCGTGTCTGAGGAAAAAATGTATATCTCTATCTCTATTATAGCTAAATTGGAATTCCACTATTCATTACCTTTATTTCATTTACTTCTGCTGTTATGTCCGTCTGAAATCCTCGCAGAACTTGCAGTGAATATTCAAAATCCTCCATCTTCCCCATTTTTGCCTGAAACAAACAATCTGTTGTACTCAGGTCCTGCCATTAATGCTATGAAAAGATAATACCATGGAATACTTACCAGCCACCTTGGGGATTCAGGGACAAAGAACAGCCCAGGAATCAGGATTGAACAAGGTAAAATGCCTAAAACATGTAGAAGTAACAGAAAAGTAGTTAGGAAGATGATTTTGTACAAATAAAACAACGAAAACAGTCAACTGATGGGTGCTATGTAGCATATTGTCGTTTCATATACTAAACCAATGGACTAAAGTTTTACATCATACCTAGAACAGCAAGAATTCTCCAGGGAACAAACATGCCAAACAGGTAGGCAAGCAATATACCAATTGTGACGGAGAGCTGTAAAAGAAATTATGGATTGGTTCGAAGTTGACAACAACATTGACAGATCAGAAGAAAGGCTACACATGAATAACAATAATGAAACTGTTGTCGTTCACTATTAAAAAAAAAAACTACCTGATTGACAGAACCAAGAGCTCCCCTCTGATCCTGAGGAGCAATTTCTGCAATATAAACTGGTACCTGGAACCATGAAATAGAAGTTCCAATCATAAAGATAGCATTGGGCATAAAAACATCAAAGTATAAGTAACCAAGTCGCTAACAAGTCCTTAAAAACTGCATTGTTTAACCAGGAATGCCCTGTCACAAAAACCTGCACCAGCAAGTGGTACACTGGAGTTGAAAGGCTACCTAGGTATGCTATTGCCATGCAAAGAAATTTACCCATTATCATTCTGGTTTTATAGAAAATTAAAACTTGACTGTACAATATGCAACAAATTGTATATATAGGAAGTCAATTCCGCAACAGTATTCGACATAGGATTTCAGTCACTTCTAAGTGCTAATAGTCTCATTTGACAGTGAAATGAGCATACCATATTATTCCGAACAGGGGTCAGTGACCTTGATTTATGAGTTTTCTTGCCTAGTATTATTAATATTTAGTTATGTTACCTAAGGAAGTAGCCTTTTATTTAAGAGCTATAAACTTTGCACTTTTGTTAGTTGACTTGTTATTTAATTTTGTTTCATCATACCAAACTATATGCCTTAGTATGTTTACATTTCCACTAGAGCTTACTGCTTTGTTTTGAATGCGTCAGGGCTTGGGATTGTTTGTTTGTATGGGCTTTTTAAGACGTGAATTATGAAAAGCAGAATTTTCTGTTTTAAAAAATACCAAAGAACTGTAATCTGTAACAGTTAGAAGACGATAAACATGAAAATGCCACTATTTCTGTATAGAGTAATTTGTTTTTACTAAGAGGGAGGAGAAAAGAGCTGCATACTGTATAAGATATTACACCCACTCCAAATCCTTCTAGCAGACGACCCAAAAACAAGAAGGAGGAATCCTGAATATACACCAAATCAGAAGTAAATAAACACAAAAATTATTATCATATTGATGAACAAAGAAAATCAGCAGCAGGGGCATGGAAAAATGACTGTAGCTAAAAACTTACTTTTGCAAATGATATCGCAAGCCACCCAATTATGTTTGGAATTGCAGCAATCATGAGAGACTACAAGGCCAACCAAAGAATTCAATCAGTGCACAAGCAGATCTTTCAAGGTTCCCAGTAACAAAGCTAAGCTGACACTTTTTAACCTCCTACGGTAATTGATACTGATACTGTGCACGCTTAAACTAGCTGCCACTTTTTAACCTCCTACAGTACTTAATACCAATACTGCGCACACTTAAACGATGATTCAATCTGTTCTATTGCATTGTGTTCCATGATCTGGTCTAGCAGACACAAAGTAAAATGGTAGTCTCACCCCCTTGCGGCCGATATACTCTGCAAGTTGCCCACTGGAGATGGCACCTACCATCGCCCCTACGTTTGATAACGATCCGAAGAGTGAGAACTGCATAGAAAAAAGACACGGCCAAGCAGCATGAAGCAAGTGTAACCATTACAAGGAAGCAACGCATCAACCGAGAAAACAACGTCACCTCGGAGAGGGAGAGGCCGAGGTCAGCAATGATGGCGTCCTGCGTGGGAGAGGAGTAACCGCAGGTGAAACCGAACTGGATGGGACCTAGAGCGACAATGAGCGTGCAGAGCGTCGCCGAGATAGCGACGTCGCGCAGGGAGAAGGCAGAGGAGCCTAGACGCTCCATGAGGCTAGATTGGCGCGAGCCCGTCATGCCACCCGCCGGCGGCATGCGGTACCAGCTTCCGGTGTTCAGGAGCGGCTTCCGCAGGTCGGAGGAGGAGGACGTCCTTCCCCCATCCTCCCCGCCACTCTCCTGGTCCCGAAAGCTCATGCCTGAGCCTTAGTTTCTTCTCGGCCGCACGGCAACGAACGAAGAATTGCTGCAAGTAGCGTCCGTCGATCTCGAGCGCTGGCGGAGAAGAAGGAGAGTCCATTCAGCGCACGAAATTGGATCTGGTTGAATGATTGGTCGAGAGAAGGCAATCCACCCACGCAATCGAGCTGGGATTACTCACCGACTTGATTGAGGAAGGGAAGAAAGACCGCCCCGGTGGTGGATCTCCGGCGAGAAGGGGAGAGGAGGATCCGTGGAGCGGACCGGCGGCCTGTGTTACGCTGCGCTGCGTCGCGCGTTGCGCCCGCCGCCGCTTCCGGGGTTGGCCCTTTGTGACCGGAGTTTGATTGCAGTCTGCAGAGAGGAGAGATTAGAGGGACCACGGACGGACGGACGGGGAAGTTGAATGATTGGTCGAGAGAAGGCAATCCCCAGGCTCGAATATGCAAATGATTTTTTAAGCATCTTAGCGAGCTTAAATGAAAAAATTCAAAACTAAAAAGTTATCTACAATTTTTGTATAAAAATTATTTTTATTTAATTTCGTAAAAAAATATGATTTGATATGATTAATATGTCTTAGAAAAATTATATTTTTTTGTACGGAATCAATTAAAGATAATTTTTATATAAATAGGTGTCGTTCGCTTCGCTGAAAAAACAAGTCGAAATACTATTTCCCAGCTGATTTATTGTGAGAGAAAAACATTGTTCCAACCAAAAAACCAACTTAAAAAAGACGGATTATAAGAGAAGTGAACAGGTCATATTATAGATCTCGATGAGATTTACAACTTTCTACTTTTGAGTTTTTTAATCTGAGATAGTTAACATGCTAAAAAAAATTAATTGCATATTTAGACATGAGGGTATTTTTGTTTTTTCACACCCACAGTTTAACACCGTTAGAGCCAAATCTAACAGAAGTGACACAGAGGGTAAACAAATTTAGAGCAATGACATCTATAAAAACTTAACTTTTTTAATAGCTGGTAGGTAATTAATAACTTTTATAACGGCAGACGGTAAAAGCCTCTTCTTCCTTTCGGCCGTGTCCTCCGATCCGGGTGTGCTGGACCTGGACACGACAGGTATTGGGGGGTGGGGACGAGGCCCCCTGTGCATGTCTGCATGTTCTCTAGCCCCTTCTGTTTTTTGTAATTTTATTATAGCGCCATTTTCTTTTCAACTACTATGCATTTTTTTTTTAGACTTGCGGACTTTTTATTACTCATCGGTCCCGCCTAAATCGCCGGTCACCAGACCTCATTCTCGTGAGGTACTTCCTCCCAAGTAATTTTACAATCACTAGGAAACTTACACCCGATAGCAGCTAGAGCATGTGCTACCCTATTACATTCACGACGACACAGATTTATATTACATAAATTGAAATCTTCTCGTAGCAGCTTCAGCTCGGTTATGACACCTCCCATTGTTGACAGCCTATAAGTATTACTCTCCAAAGCTTCCTTCACAAGGGCCACATCCACCTCCAGAATTACATGCCAGATGCCCATGTTGGCTGCTTCGCGTAGACCTGCTAGACAGCCCAGAAGTTCAGCATGGAAAGCATCTTGCAGGAAATCGACTCTTCCGGCTCCCGATCATACCACCCGACCTCCATCGCCTCGAATGACGAAACCCCATCCGCCGTCCTTCTTTTCAGGATCAAAGGAGCCATCAGTGTTCAGTTTCAAGATGCCAGCCTGCGGCTTCTCCCAAGCATGCCTCTGTCGAGAATCCGACAATACATGGTTTGGATAGAAAGAATGTGGGAAGGAGGGAGAGAGTTTATTAAGCGATCAGATCAAATATTTTTTAGTACCATGCATTTTCTTTGAGGACCCGCTAAAAAAAATTAGACAAAATTGCTTACATGCCATTGGCATTAAACCTACTAACCTCTTGTCGCCAAGAAAACATGATTTTTCATATATGACATTGATTTTCAACGTTAATCCCTTTTATACATGTTAGAAACTACCGGTTTTATTCCGGACTAAGCCGAACCGGTGGATGATAATCCTGTCTAATTAGAGTAATTTGGACAGTTCCTCATAGCAATTGTGTCATCATGTATAACTTATGCATCTTATGCGATTATGTAGGAGCGGAAGCGACCAAGGAGGAGACCTTGGAGCCTAAACTTGACTTCACAGTTACGCTGCAAGTTGATCTTCAAGTTAGACACCTATGAATACTAAACTCTTTCAAGCTGCATGAACTTGATTACACACTATGTATATTTGTGCTAACTTATACAAAGTATATGAAAATGACTTACTTGTAGCTTGCATTCGTTGATGCTCACAATCATGGCCTGAAGTGTTGATTGTTTAATTCCTAGAACTTAACTTTACTTAGCATGCTTAGTGTGGTAGAAGTAGAGTATGTGCAATGATCATCAATACTTGCGAGCTTTTAGGAATTGCTTGATTAATGAATTTGTAGAGGAGGAATGAGCTAAAACTTGATCAAGATTATATTGATTAATTTTCATATATTGTAGGAGGAAAAGGTGTCGAAAAATGAAGGAAAGTGATCCTGTTATGATGAACGATTATGGTGAGTTGTGAAAAAAAAACACAGGTGTTGAAAATGTAGGAAGAAGTGGAATGTGATTTTATTGCGATGAATGAATATGGTGAGCTATGAAAAAGAATCTTGTAATATGTCCATGTCAAGGTATTTGGTGAATTTCAAACTTGTGTGTTTATGTGACTATGTTATTTTGTGGACCGCTAGACTGTCTGTGGACTATTTGTGGTGCTTCTACTAGTTCAACTTTGTGTACGGTTGTGTTGACTTGAACATTGTTTGTCCATCGGCTATGGTACTTCTTCGGACCCATTTGGTGAAAGCTTTAGGGTCCATCTGGTAATAATAAATGTTTTCGATTCTCAGTAGAATCACTGCAAACACCACAAAGAGAGAAATGTCTAGGGGGTCACTTGGAACTGATTCTTATTTTTTACTAGCCTAGAGAAACACCCAAAATCTGATTTCTCCTAATTTTAGTTTTAGTTTCAAGAATTAGGTGAGCTAGCTAAATGGTTTCATGAAGTGATTATGATTTAGCAGAAAAACTTTTATAGAGAGAATCTAGATCTGAAACATTTTTAGCAGAACCTGGATCCCCACAAAACGTAATCTTAGATGGCTTTAGTTTTATCTTCTTTTGCACTGTATAAGAAGTTGTTTTTATCTCTCTTCATAGGAGCAGGTGCTCTGGCTCCTCAATGTATCATATCAATGAGCTAGAATAGTGTGAAGGTGTACCAAATGTGGCCTATTTGTTTGTGCACTTTTATTTGTCGCTCGTTCATATACACATTGAATTATTTCTGATACGAGCTCATGATATGTGGAATTATTTGTTGCTATGCTAGTGCTTGGCGGTGGTAGCTATAAGTTTCTCCTGCCTTGATGCTTAAGTTTCATGGGTGTGTCATGTTGGCTGGCAACATGAAGGTACGACTAGCATACGGCATCCTTGCTACACGAAAAGGCAAACGACGACATCACCAGCATGCAACCTAGCAGCAATGCTAGTCTATTGCCGTGAGCTATTGGCATGAACGTGTGAGCATGATCTCGACCTTTTTTTTTAGGGAAACCGGAGCTTCATTAGCATGATCTCGACTTAAGTATACTACTCCTTGTTACCGCCTATTTAGTAGCAAACCCAATCATATCTATTTGTTTTCGTGTACTCGTATCTTTTTGCTACTGCTTATGTTACTTTTTGTCCCTCTTTCGGTCTTATTTTCTACGAGAAATTATGGTATTAGAAATGGAAGAAGATGTTTTCCATCCATTCCCGTCTATTTTATCTAGTTATGTTAGACGTTATACACGTAACTCTTAGCTAGGAGTGAGAACTCGATGAATTTTACCATGAGGGCACGTGCGGTGTACCAAAACGCATGCATGCCTAAACCTCCTCATGCCTACCTCGATAGTTTCTTATTTATAACAATATAACAAAACCATATGCCATTGTTTTTAAAATACAAACTATTAGCTCCTTTTGCCCACTGAAAAGGGCAATAAATTAGGCTCCGGGTGTTTTAAAAGTACTGTTCATCTAAACGGCCATTTAGATTATTTAAACACCTTATAAACGCTACATACAGTGGTACGTTGTTTCCGTTTAGCCCGTTTAATTAGCCCTTTAGTTTGTTTAATGGACTATTTTACCCGAATAATGGCTAAATGGCATGTGATCGATAGTTTACCGTTTAGCGTTTAGAAAAATATTATTTAAAAGTCGCTCTTTAGAAACACAAGAATGTGAACCATATAGTTATAGTTATTACAACTTATCACCCTAGATGATTTTTATATTCATCAGCCTTTAAAAAAAGCACTAATAGAGGGTCAAAGGGCGAGAAATCCAGGTGTCGCCTTAGCTGGGCAGAGAAGTCTCTAGTTGTGTCTGTAATGATGATTAGGTTTGTCTTCTCACCCTCGAGAAATCATCCATGGGAAGGCGATTTATATTGCTATATATATATAAAAGGGTTTGAGTGGTCTATACTGTATGAGCTTATTTTTATATTATATTTTTTTATAAAACTGACATAAATTTTTTTCTATATTTTAAAAATAGTAATAATTTAATTGATTTTCTTGTTTTTTAAACAAAAACTGTCACTCGTCTGCGGCAGGCCGGTGTCACTACTAGTTCGCCAAGCTCCGAAATACCACAAACACCCCCAATCCCACCCCGAATCGGGCGAAAGTCAAGACGCCAACCTCCCCTCTCCCCGTCCTCCATCCATGGGCGAACAATCCCTCTCCCAGCCCAAGCCCCAGCCTCTCTCCCCGCCCCCGTCGCCTCCCGCCTCCGCCGCGTCGCCGGCCCCGGCCCCGGCCTCCGCATCTGCCTCTGCCGCCTCCACCTCCCGCACCACCAGAGCCGCGGCCTCGCGCCCCAAGAAGGAGGCGAACCCATCGCCAGACCCCAACCCGGCCAAGAAGCCCCGCCTGACGTTCTCGATCCCGGGCCGGCCGGGCCGGCCCCTGTCCGCGGTCGGCGAGGTGGGCGTGGCCATCCGCCACCTGCGCGCCGCGGACCCCGCCCTCGCCGCCGTCATCGACGCGCACGAGCCCCCCGTGTTCCAGTGCCCGCACCGCCCGTTCCACTCCCTCGTCCGATCCATCCTGTACCAGCAGCTCGCCTTCAAGGCCGCCGCTTCCGTCTACTCTCGGTTCCTCTCGCTCCTCGGCGGCGAGGCCGGCGTGGCCCCCGACGCCGTCCTCGCGCTCACCCCGCACCAGCTCCGCCAGATCGGGGTCTCCCCACGCAAGGCGTCCTACCTCCACGACCTCGCCCGCAAGTATGCCGACGGGATCCTCTCCGACTCCGCCATCGTCAACATGGACGACCGATCCCTCGCCGCCATGCTCACCATGGTCAAGGGCATCGGCGCCTGGAGCGTCCACATGTTCATGATCTTCTCCCTCGCGCGCCCCGACGTGCTCCCTTCCGCCGACCTCGGCGTGCGCAAGGGCGTGCAGATGCTCTACGCCCTCGAAGACGTGCCTCGCCCCTCGCAGATGGACAAGCTGTGCGAGCGGTGGCGTCCCTACCGCTCGGTTGGGGCTTGGTACATGTGGCGGCTTATTGAGTCCAAGGTGCCCCAGCCGGCGCCGGCCATCCCTGTCGGATCACTTGCACTCCCTTCGCCGGACGGCCAGATTATGCTACAGCAGCAGCAGCAGCAACAGCAGCAGCAGACTGTCATCCAAATGATCGACCCCCTTCAGATGCTCCCAGGGATGGGGTGAATTCGGTATCACTTCAACTCATTAGTTACTCCGTCTTAGATCAATGGTTACTCTGCAGAGCTGATAGTCAGCTCCGCACATTGTTGTTCTGGAATGGAACGGCAGGAGGGTTGCATTGGACATGAAATGAGTTCTTTGGTCTCAGCTTATTAAGTTGTCAATTTGGTTTGTGTTGTTTATCTTGTCAAGAGTCTGTGAAGATCATGGTTGGCTGTTGTTTACATTGTAAAATTCACCTAGCAGTATTTTAGAACCTCCTGGAATTGTTCCATGCTTGTATTCACCTGTAATAAAATGATTAAGAGCATGCTTAACACAAGAACCCTTCTGTTTTTAAGCATGGAATTGTTCCATGCTTAACACAAGACCCATCTGACCAAAAATGAGCTCCTCGCATTTGCTCATGACTTTTGGTTTTAGAAACTAAAAGCATCGGCTATGAAAAGACATAGATTCTGATTATTACGTTTGGACTTTTTAAGCTTGCATATTCATCTGTTTGATACAATACCGGTAAAATAGGTTCTTCCAAAATTCATTTACGTAGAACTTTTTGTGGTTTATTGCGTTTTAATATTCTGTCACACGTGCACTTTCTTTTGGCGAACACATGTTCATTTTAAGGAATGTTACAAGAGCTCCTCTGGAACACCCTCGGTGTTACGCCTTAAACAAACTACTAAATCATGTCATGAGCACCATATTTATGTAATAATGCATATGATAGAAGGTGTTGATAAATTTCTTGTAGCCTAAAATAACCAATAAAAATATTAAATAGAAATTTATTCAATAGCTCATGTATATCAAGTAGGGTTGAAAATCAATTTTTATTAAGCAAAAATACTGTAGAACATGTGTGATACTTAAATAAAGTTTGAAGTACAAACTTTGTAGATGACAATGTAACTCTTGCTGTAGAAAAATAATATGACTAGCTAGTATTTCTAATGGCTTGGAAATGGAACTTGAAGTCAAATTCAGCTCAAGACTTGGAAGAAATTTTAAGTTTGAAAACAATGTGACAATGCCATGTTAGTGAATTAATTCTGAAAAATCTAGCTAAAGGTTAATGTTGTGTTTTTGCTCCTTATGGTAGACTGATGTACCCTTGTTAGCATGGTCGAGGTAGTTTAGCTTCAACTGTGTTAGGTTAGTTTTTAGACGCCCTTTAAAATTCGTGCTTAGCACGTGTCTGGCCGTTCGGCTGGGAGTGCTTGGTCATCGTGTTCCGTGCGCGCCGTGGCTGCCTCTGGTCGTGCGCGTGCGTGGGCAGGATGATGGTGGCCGCCTTTGGCCTGGCTACGACGTGGCCGTGGCTTGGCAACCTTCGGCTGCGATGCCTGCTGCTGGCCGAGGCCTCGTCACCCGCCCCTCGGCCGCCGCTGCCGCCCTGCTGTGCGGCTGCCTCACCCGTTGTCCTCCTTGTCTCGACTCACCCGACCGCTGTAGCATTTGTTCCCAGACGCATAACCCACCTACGAAGCCCGAGCTCGACGTCGTTCGTAGTCTACTGATTTGCAACGCCGTGCTGCTGTGTGTGCGTGGCCGCATGCGGGCACACCTTCAATGGCTCCGTCCAAGCGCTAACCAACGCGTCGCCTGTCCCTCGCTCGTGTGGTCCTATCCCCGCGCTGCCATGCCTCGTCGGGTTGTGGCCGGGCCACCTCTGCCGGGGCCGCTTTCTGCGACGTGGCGGTGGCAATGCACCACTCTCCTCTCCCGTTCTTAATCACCAACTCAAGCCCTCCCAGTCCAAATCCTCACACCGGTGGGTAGATTAGCAAGTTAGCTAGGTGTCGCATTCTCATCGAGCCCAGCCTTGGTCTGTTAGTGGTCAATTTCGGTTTGTCCTCGCTGCCGGTCATGTGCGCCGCCGTGACTGGAGGGTTGGGGGTAAGGCCCGTAGGAGTGGTACAGTTCAATTGCTCGTAATCCTGAACTCGCCTTGACTCCCTCTATCCGGTGCCGCACTATTTTGGCTAGGGAACTCATCGGCGACGTGGTGACGCGTCGGTGTCCGGCTCGGGGGCGTCGCCGCCGTGCTCGGGCGCACGTGGGTAGACCACTTCAGCTCTTCCTTGCCTCAACCGTCACCGCATCACGAATTTCGGTGAGCTACTGGTGCTTATCCACTATCTCTACCACCCCGATAAAATCTTAGGTCGCCGGAACAGTCGCGCCGCCGTCGCGGATAGCTGCTCGCCGCTGCAGCCAGCGACAGTGCGCCTCCGAGTCCCTAACCATCACCCATCCTTGCGCGTTTAGCTATAGATGGTGGTCGGCCCTTTAGTTCCGTCGTAGCGAGCCTAGTTTGCCCCGCGTAACCGCCTTATGCCGTCGGCCGCCGCACCGGCACGCGTGGGGTTTCTAGGGACCTCCTCGTGGTAAAGGTGAAAACATCCAAGGGTCTAGTTGAAAGATTACAGACGGTAGGAATAGTACGCATAGTAGTCATATTAATCTCTGAAAAGCTCGGGGGCTTTTCTCTCGCAAAATGATCGATCAAGATAAGGTGCCCTGCCTTACCTTGGGCCGTCTTGATCAAGGTCACATGACACAGGTGGCAGTAGTCACAGCAGTCTTTGGTCTCTACGGGCCGAAGAAGGGGTTGTTCTTGCCCTTTCTTTTTTTTCTAATTTAGTTTCTAAGGCAAACTTGTAAATGCAATGTAAATTTGTGTAGTTGGCCAAAAATTATGAAACTAATTTCGTTAGGTTTCTAAAATCATGATCTACCTGCTAGTATATTTTGTTCACATAGTTTTATAATATTTTTAGGAGTTATCTAATTAATTTGAGATGCTTAATATTATAAGATCTAAACTTACAGGAATGTTTGTGATAAATTGGTAATAGTGTTGGCTCTGAAATTTTTACAGTAAATTCATAACATTATTAGGTGTTCACTGTAATTTTTGTAGCTCTATAATAATTAGTTTACTAGGGTAGCTAAATGAGCCATAGTTCGAAAATATAGGGCATGTTCGCTTGGTCGTAAACGATCGTAAATTTCTAGTCGGAAGAGTATTTTTCTCTCACATCAAACCAGCCAGCGGTAATAATCCACGATCGTATACAATCATTTCAGCCCCAGTCGAACAGGCTGATATATTTAATCAATAAAATGCCGAATCATCTTGGGATTTTAGAACTAAAATATTTTTCCGGAGGCGAAGTCTTACTTGACGACGTGGATACGTAGACTAGTACGTTAGTCATTAAAGCTAGCTCGTTAGTTTGCGGAGCGTAATCGTATTTTAGAGTTATAGTTGTCGTTAATTATTTACGTCTCTGCGTTCCATCCACGTATATTATAATAGGAACAATGATGGATCATGGAGTCGACCGAAGTAGCGGAAAAGATGGTGCCTTGATGATCGTGTCGCCCGATGAAATGCTAATCCTTGGTTATATCTCACCAAGGCAAGCCCTGGTGCATAACCCCTATTATTCTACACTTTATTTTATGCTTGTGCATTAAGTTTTAAGGAGTTGAATAAAACCACTTGTGTGTATATATATATCCTTATTCTATGAGTCCTACTAGTATGTTAGGATCATGTAGATTGCTATGCTATAGGACCCAGTAGAAGCCGGATGATTACCTGTCACTCGCGAAAGATGTGAACGATATTATTGTTGTTATTATATTACTATCACATGTAATATATATGAATGATAATTAGAGATCGGGCGGAATTTTACTTTGGATCTAGACTTGGTCAGGCATTCGAGCGAGGCTCGTATTGCACTTATTCCGTCTGTGTCGATTAAGGATCATTCGTTGCTGTGGATGGTAGTCAAGTCACAGACTTATTATCTTGATCACATACTTGCTTATCGGAGCGGGAAGGATCGTTACGCTCTTGTCGTGGGTTCCAGCTCTTTCGGACCGACTGATTGGAGGCGGGGAAAGGTGGAGGTCTAAGCATCATACTGAGACCGGGTCTCATGTGTGGGGGCTTAGAGTTCAAGTTTGGACGGGGACCTGGACCCCACGATAGAAGTGGAATGGGTTGGTCTTATTTGTGTCTGGGGTACAAACGAGACGTGTGTTTTGGGATACTCAGCTGGGATACATTGATTCGTGAATCGTTGTTTCTGTGAGATGGTACGGCTTGACAATGGTATAGCACCGTAGTAAGAACTGAAACTAAAAAGGTGATAAAATGATTCTGATTGCTTACCACTGCTTGAAATTAGCATGGGTGTTTACATGGAATGGTTAGTTAATGAACTAATAATGACCGCTAATAAAAATTAAATATAAAGACGCACGTTTACTAATACTTCTTGGAGATGCAATAACCCACAAGCCAGATAGCCTTGCATATCCTTGGAGTCTTTTATTTTTCTCCTGTCGGGTAAGTCTTGTTGAGTACAATCGAGTACTCAAGGTTTTATTTCCCCTGTTGCAGGTGATCGGATGATACATAGAACTGACTCTTGTGTGTAGAAACCTCCTGTTGGGCTCAGAGAGGATTCCTTTCACGCTACGATCGTAGTGTCTATTTATAATCCTCACTGAATGTTTTTATAAGAAAAGATGTAAAATATGCTAGCATTTCTTGTATAAAAATGTCCACTATGTTAATGCTCCACCATGTAATTAAATAAATCTTTGCTTCCTCTGTAACTCTGATAACGTTGTTATGTTCCGCTGTTATAATTAATTAAGGTAATATTATGTTACTATAACGAAGTGATGTAAGAAATGACTTAAGAATATTGTAAACTTTATTCTTTCATTTATGATCATAATGGAAAAATGTGGATTTTCGAGTTCTTTCTTAGGGTGTGCTCGACGGAACTGCGTAGTTTAGTGTCATCTCTTAGTACTTAGTGTCTAATAGAAGACAACTATTCCTAGGAAGCATTAGATTAGGCGGTTCTGCCGCTCCTCTCAGTTGCTCGTAACTTTCGATATTAGAAACCGAAATAACATCGGTTATCGAAGAAACGGAAATTTGGATTAAAGTTATTACGTTTTGGATCTTT